CCCGTGCTGGGCACAGGATTGTGGAAATGTAAGTCATTCACTGTGTGAGCAAGATGGTAGCCTGAGAGTGGCAGATGAGGAAGAAATAAACATTACTATGGAAAAGTGATGGTGAAAGAGAGTCCAGGAAAGCTTTCTGGGAAAGGTACTTCCTAAGCTGAATCTCAAAGAGCCAGAAGATGTGGCCTGAAAGGAAGGTGGAAGGAGGGAATCTAGTGGAGGGAACAATATGGGAGGCAGGAAGACCAGAAAAAGCACAGTGCCATCAGGAGCCAGGAGAGAAGTTAGTGCAGCTGCAGCCCTGGGGGCTTGTGGTGGCACAGTAGGGATTGGGAAAGGAGAGTGAGCCCTGAGAGGTCAGCGAGGAGGTCACCAGCTGCGGCTAGGGTACCAGCCTATGGTACCCACTATGTTCACGCTTCTCTGCTGGCTGGGCCAGGCTGGGTCACGGTGGCTCAGGTCTGTGTTGCTGTCTGATAGACTGACACTTTATGGGCAGAGGGGAAGGGGCTAGCTCAGAGCCTCTCAGGGGCCAGAGAATAATAGGTCCTTGAGGAAAGAACTTCCTGGTCCCTTCTGCATCTTCCTAGGGCTTCTAGTGTATCCAAGTGCTGTTTCTGGGGTGGCCATCTGTAGAAAGTCTCCACCTTGTGGACAATGCCAGAATTACAGATCTAGGAATATTCCTCCTATCAATAAATTTCATACGGTATATTTTTCCTCTTTTTTCCCCCTTTTGGTACTGAGATTGAACCTAGGGCCTTGGCACTGAACTACATCCCAGCTCTTTTCAGAATTTTTAGACAGGGTCTCACTAACTGGCTAAGTGCCCAGGCTGGGCTTGACCTTGTGATCCTGCTGCCTCGAGCCTCCCAGAGTGCTGGGATTACAGATGTGTGCACTGTACACATGTACACTTTCCTAATGATTATGAGCCAGAGTGCTGGGATAAGGAGGTCTTGGTTGGGAGGGGAAAACAGAAATGCATCCAGAAATCGCCCAGTGCTCACAGGTGTGTCTACCTGCAGCGATGGGGTCAGTCAGGGGGTCAGGGAAGGCTTCAGAGATGACACCTGAGCTGGCTCACACAGGGAGAAGGGATTTGAGACGTCACCACTGACAACCTCACTGGACAGAGCAGGCAACTAGAGCATACAGGATAGGAAGGGACTGGCACAAGTTTGCTGTCTTGGTTTTCAGAATATTGGAGAGTGGCTAATTTATAAATAAAAAAGTTAAGTTTGGTCTACAATTCTAGAGCCCAGGATGTCCAAGATCATGGCACTGCTATATTCTCGGCTTTGAGAGAGGGCCTCGTGCTGCTTTGACTCATGGCAGAAAACAATAGAGCAAGCAGGTGTGCGTGAAAGAAGCAAAACATGAGGGAGACTTGCTTTGTAACAACCCACTCTGTCAGTAACTAATCCAGTCCCATGAGAGTGAAAACTCACAAGAGAAATGAGTTAACCCTACTTAATGGCCTAATCACCATGGGGAGATCCTCAAACAGGACCACACTGGCAAAGTTCAACATGATTTTTGGAGGGAAAAAACCAGATTCAAACCATAGCAGTCACACAGGTAAGGCAGAGCTGAGGTGAAGACCCAGGTTTCCAGGTGTTCTGGCCTAGGGCTCTTTTTCCTGCACATGGCTGGCCTTCAGTTTAAGTGGATCCCACTCCTGGTACTCTAGAAGTGGCCCTTGCACCTGAACTGCTCTTGACTTTGCCCTGCGTGGCCCCATCACAGTAATTTGTCCCAGCCTGCTCTCTGGTGCAGCCATCTCATCCCTTGCCGAACACTAGAGCTCTCCCAGGGAGGATGCTGTGCCAACTCCAAGCTCCTGGCCCAGCTGGGAAGAGGGAATGAGGTGTTTGTGTCCCAAGAGCATCTGTCCTCAGGGACTAGAGCAGTGCGTGGTACATAGGGATCTCATAAATATTTGGGATATGAGGGAATGAGTGAGGAGAGGAGAGGTGGTGGGGCCTGAGAGTCTAGCCCCAGCTCCCCTGAGGATTTATCCAGAGTTGGGTCTTATCTTGAATAGACTGGAAAGATAGATTGAGGCCAGGTCGAAAAGGTCACTGACTGCCCAGCTGAAGAGTTTGCTTTATTCTACTAGCAGTGGGGAGCCAGGCCTGTTTGTGAGCAGAGACAGAATGGGATCAGAATAGAAATCAGCTTTGTTCCTTTCAAAGAGAGTAAAATAGTCCCTAGTCACAGATCTTTCCCACCCCAGAATGCCATTAGAATTAAAGAAAAAGCTATGCCAGATATTCCAGACCTCTGAGTGCTTTTGCTTCTGAATTTAGTAATTAAGCCATGTTTCTATAGACTAAATAGAAGCTGTCCTGAGATAAGGTCCTAACACCCAGGAGACAAGCACAACCATTGTGACACACTCTTCAGTTTCTTCCTGTGGCACCATCTGAGCCCCACTAAGTGTGGGGGTCAAATACAGTAACTCACTTTGCAGGTAACGATACACAGTGTATTAACTATTGTTCTTCTCTTATTATGTTGTTATGAAATTTTGTTTCAATTTTCATAAAAAGATGTGCAAATAATAAAAGTTGTGTCTGTAAAAATGTATAGTAACTCTTCCTAAACTGGGTTCTGGTGTATCTGTCACCTCTCCTCACTCTCTGCCAACCTGCGGCACCTTTCCATAGCTCGTGGGAAGAGGTCTGAGCAGAGTACCATAGGGCTCTGTTCTATTGAATGTTTTCAACAATAACCCGGATGAACTCAGAAACAGTCTTCAAATTCTCCATAATTGGAAAGAGGAATTAATATGTGTTGGATAGAAGAAGCAATATTCAAAGAGGCTTACATAGGTTGGCACTGGGGAGAGAAATCAAATGTTGAAATGTTGCAGAGATATATGTCAAGTTCTAAGTTTTGATTCAACACTAACATGAGAAAACCTGAAAGAGGGCGAAGAAATCCACCACACAGAGCTGCCTCCAGGTTCAAAGGGGCCACGCATGGGGCAGGCCAACCCCTCCGAAATGGGTCCTTATTAGTGTGGATAAAATTTCCCACCTGAGCGTCTGTGAACAGGTGTCTTCACTTTTCTCTGGTTCAGTGCGGCTGCTTCCCAGTCTCCCTGGGCTGCCAGAGACAATTTAATAATGACCTTTTTTTGGTAGTATGCAGAGAATAATTGCAGAATTGTGAGAAAAATTGCCCTGATCATCCAAGAATTGAAAATATCCATACAAAGCCTGGGCTGTGGAGTCAGGAGGCACACAGCAGATGGATGCTCTTGGAAGACAGAGCATCTCCAGCTGCCTGGAAGGAGCAAAGCTTTGCAGCTCTGCCTGCCAAACTGGTCAAGATGCATGAAGAACAAATGCCCCTTCTAGTGGAGCAGAGGCCAGGTCCGGAGCAAGTACATTCACAGGGCTTCTTTGCTGGGAGGAATCCAGGAAGAGAGCTCTGTTGTGGTTAATCTTCATACTTTTTTATCTTTCTTTCACCTTTTTCATTTTGAGAATGTGTTCAAGGAGTCTTCCCTGTATTGCAGACATTTTACTGACTCCGATCTGGTTGTGGCTTCCCTGGTCTCTGGGATCAAGCAGGGAAGCTGGGACTGGGACACAACTCACTGTGGTATGACTGTGGACTCATATCTCAGCCAGTACCTGCACGTAGTTGGTGCCCAGTAATAGCTGATATGCATAGAGTACTTACTGTGTATCAGGGATCCTCCTAAGCATTTTATATAAGTTAGCTCCTTTTAACCTCACAAGTCCATAAAAAGGGTGCAACTCAGTCAAAACAGAACTCAAGGAGGTTAACAATGTAGCTTGCCTGTTGTTACACAACTATTCAATGGTGGATTCAGCTCCCCAGTGCATACTCTGAACCATAGCACCAGATGGGTCTTTATAAATGTGTGTTAGATGACAAATGCAGAATATCTATGTGCATGACCCAAGAGGGATGTTGACCAAGCTAAGAACATTGCATCATGGTGGTCAGGACATATCTGTGGCAGATACAATGCTTGGCGTAGGACTTAGTGCACAAATCTAGTGCCACTGAGCAGGAAGGAGGAGGTATTCCAGGTGGTGGTAAAGGGGTCATGGACTTGAACCGTATGATAAGCTTTCTATATTCTGTGCTATTTCTAACAGGGTGACATAAGCTGCTATAACGAATAAAACCTGCATGTTGCTGGCTTTTTATAAGAGAACTTTATTGCTCTTGGACTAGTCTGCGAAAGGGCAGTTTTCTCTGCATGGTATTTCAAGGACTCAGCTCCTTAACTCTTTTTTTTTGGTACCAGGGATTGAACTCAAGACCTTGTGCTTGCCAGGCACATGCTGTGCCACTGAGCTCTGTAACTGGCCCAAGGGTCCTTAACTCTTGTAATCCACTTCCTGTAAAGACTTGGAGTCCAACCAGCAGATGGGGAAGAAGAAAGTAGCAAAGATACCCTTGCTTCTTAACCACGTTGGCCCATAGCTTCCACTCATATTCCCCAGTGAGACCTTGTCTTATATTTGCTCCTAGAGGTCAGGGTGGCCAGAGGCTGGCCCTGGCTGGAAAGACCCTACCCAGCAACAGCCTTGCTTTCCACTGGGAAGATGAATACTTGGAAACAACTAGTCCACTCTGCCATGAGGGTGGGTTTAGTTTTGAACTTGTCTCCAACCCCTTCTCCCAGCAATGGGCCACCTAATATCCAAGGAGACCATAAGCCAGTGATCTTGGTTTATTGCCTTGAAGCAGAGTCCTAGTTTATTGCCTGTCATAATTTTTACAGCTAGTCAAATGCACACAGCTTCTAGGCAAAACTCTGAGAGCTCGGGAGCCAGGGCCCACAGCAGGGAGTAAAAGGAACAGCAGCAAGGGTCAGGGGAAAAGCATGAGGAGAAAAGTTTGTGCTTTTGCAGCATAAGCAGAGGAGGAAGAGCAGACAAACCAGCCAAGTGGTGAAACAAGGAAGAGGGCTGCCCGCCTTCTTTCACTTCTCAGGTAAATATTTGACTGGATGTTTGCTTGTTCTCTCAGTTTTGGGGCACTGCAGAGAGAACTGGATAGAAGACCAGCTCAACAGAATCCATCATAACCAAAAGTCTCAGGAGCCCAAAGAACAACGCAGAGGAGCTTCACCTGTGAGTGCTGTGCCCACCACGCCTGTGGGCTTCGGTCCTCAGCAAGATGTTTGCCACAGATGCAAGGTATGTGTTTGGGGGCTGGGCTGGGACTAGTCATGCGGGACAACGCATGCTCCAGGCAACTGTCTCCTTTGATGTTGGTGTCTAATGAAAACTGGGAGAAGGGCAGTGGCATGGAAGAAAGAATCATGGGTGGGTTCCTGGGTCAGTGAGTAGACTTCCTTCCTCTTCAGTTCAGAGTTATAGAGAGGAGTGAGCAGAGCCCAGATGTTCAATTAGAAGATCCTGAGTTTGAATCCTGGCTCTGCAGTTTCTGGCCTCAATTTCTTCATCTATTAATTGGGTACAATAACCTCTGTTTTACCTGAGCCACAGCTTTACTTTTTAATTGCTACTTTCTAATTGTACATATTTATGGGGTACAATACAGTGTTTAATACATGTATACATTACTCATTGATCAAATTAAGATAGTTGGCATATCCATCACCTTCTGCATTTAGCATTTCTTCATGGTGAGAACAATTTAAAAAAACCTCTTCTAGCTATTTTGAAATATGTAATACTTTAGTGTGAGCCATAGCTGGCCTTCTGTGCAATGGAACACAGAACTGATTCCTCCCATCTAACTATAACTTTGTACCCCTTGATCACCCCCTTTCCATCTCCTCCCTCCTTCCTTCTGTTCTACCTTGTACTTCTATGAGATCAGCCCCTTTTAAAGTCCACATATGAATGAGTTCACACAGTACAGTATTTGTCTTTCTGTATTTGGCTAATTTCACTTAGACGCGATTCCCTTCAGGCTTATCCACTTTTTCTCAAGTGACAGGATTTCCTTTTAAGGCTGAATAGTATTCCATTCTTTATCCATTCATCCACTGTTTAGATCTTCAGGTTGATCCCGTATCTTTGCTATTGGAAATAGTGTTGTGATAAGAATGAGATCTTTTTGATATACCAATTTCATTTATTTTGGTTATGTACCCAGTAGTGTGATAGCTGGTTCTTATGGTAGTACTATTTTTTTTTTTTAGTGCCAGGGATCAAACTCAGGACCTTGCCCTTGCCAGGCAGGTGCGCCACCACTGAGCTACATCCCTGGCCTGGTAGTGCTTTTTTCTAAGTTTTGAGGAACCTTCATACTCTTTTCCAAAATGGTTGCACTAATTTACATTCTTACCAGCAGCATGTAAGAGTTCCCTTTTCTCCACATCCTCACTAACACCTGTTCTATGTTCTCTTTCTGAAAATAACCATTCTAACAGAGATGAGGTTTACCCACAACTTCGTGAAGGCCATGTGAGAACAAGAATGGGAAAGGATTGTAGATCTGTAAAGTCCTGCCCAGATGACAGTAATTAAGAATTCTTACTCTAACCTGTAAATGTTTATGATGAAGAACTGAAAAGGTGACTCCAGGATATAACAAGAAATACCATGTTTCCTTGAAAATAAGACCTAACTAGAAAATAAATTCCAGCTGTAATTAATAGCTGGTTGTTACCATGGTGATGGCCAGTGTCATGCAAAGATTTTACCTCACCATTCACTGCCCATTGGCTACTCGATAATGGTAATGAAGGCAATGATAGGTTGACTGGGGCTGGCATTTTTGATCTCTAGTTAGTTCTTATTTTCTGGGAAATATGGTAGGATCACTACCTCCTGGTGTCATAGCATCTGTTTAGAACATTGAGGGATACAATGGAGGATAAAAAATAGAGAGGGAGCCATAAAAACGTAACCAGGCATGATAAGTGTCACTTAAAAAAGATACATGGAGGCTCAGACACAGGAAAGAGGGAAGTAGATTGAAAAGACCAGACCAGAAGGGACCTTGAAGGACAGGTGGACAGAGAGCACAGAGAGTCAGCCAGAGGTGGTGGGAAAATGGAACTGGAGAGTCTGAGAGACCTGGTCACTTTCTCTCCAATGAGACTCCATGGCTGGGAGAGAAGGGGACAGGCTGAGTCAAGAGGGACTGATGTGGTCAGTGTGGAGTTTCAGGAAGATCCCTTTGGACTGCTGGGTGCAAAATGGGTTGGAGGTAGGAGAAGGGACAGGAGGCTACTGTAACAGTCTCCATGAAAATTAGCGGCTGAGACTAAGGTGGTGGCTGCTGGCACGGGCAGACATGACTGGATGCAGCAGGGATTGGAGAGGAAGGAGAGGGGGTGCTGCTGGGTGTCTGATGTGGACTGGTAGGCGCATGGGGTGACCCTTCCTGAGATGAGGATTCCAGAGGAGGACCAGGTGGTGGAGGTGTTGTTTGGTTGGGACAGGTGGACTGAGAAGCCTATGGGACACCCAGCAACAGACACCTAGGATGCAGGCAATGGGCCCTGTGTCTGGGCCCAGTGAGCCTGGCCCACCCCTGTGCCAGATGTGCCCTCTGTCTGAGCCACTGGCATCATTGTGAAGCCAGCCTTCATCCATCCCTCAGGATTCTCCGCATCACAGCTGTCCCTTGGGTTATACTCTGGCTTTTTGGAGCCCTCTTCACAAGACAGACGCAGGCCTGAGCATGTTGTTCAGATTTGTCTACTAGCCAAGAGCGCAGGTTCACTGTCCCCACTGAGGGCCCTAGATGTGAATTTTTTATCAATATCCTAATGTGCTTTTAGTTCCTGAATGTTTCCTGTCTAGAAAATATAAGAAGCATTTAAATTCCATCTTTGTCACTCAGTGGCTGAGCAACTTTGGGCTTTGACTTAACCTCTCTAAAACCTCAGTTTTGTTTTGTGTGAAGTGGGAATACATGCTCCATAGGTTGTGAAAGGTTTAAGTAGATAATAACTCACATGGTACAAGGTAAACATTCAATAAATAATACCTATTATTATTGTTATTTTTATCCAGTGCAAAGAAATGAGAGTGTGTTGCTTTATTGGACAGTTAAGAACAGTAGTATGTTAAAAATACCTGAGGAAATTAGTTCAAAAGGAGGAAAGATTTACTGTGGCTCAGGGTTTCAGTCTGTGGTTGCTTGGCCCTGCCGCCTTTGGGCCTGTGACAAGGTAGAACATCACGGCAGAAGTGTGTGGTGGAGGACAGCTGGGCACCTCACAGCAGCCTTTAAGAAACAAAGCTGTCAGAGAGCCAATATACTCTTAGGGTGCTTCCCAGCAACCTACTTCCTTCAACTAGGTTCCACCTCCCAGTAGTGTCCTCAGATGGAGACCAAACCTGAACACATGAATTTTTGGGGACATTTAAGATTCAAATTATAACAGGTAGGGAGAAGAAAAATGTACTTTCGTCTTCCTCTAGCATCAATTTTTTTAACGGTAGCATTCTCTGAGCTTCTCGGACTTGCATGGAAACACCGTATACACGTCCTCTAATGGAGGGCACCAGCCAGGAGTTGACCATGCCCAGCTGTACATGAGCTCAGGATGAATGGAGTGCTCAAAGCAAGGAGAAGAGAACAGAAAGAGAGGTCTTGAGAGAAAAATGACACAAAACGGAACAAAAATAGGATGTGTATATGTGCCTGTCAGTATAATCTTTTCCCTGATTCCCAGAGAGTTAGAGAAAATAACAGACACAGAGACAAAATGACAAGCAAGAAGAGAGAGACAGTCACATGAAACTATCTAGGGGACTCTCAGAGGCAGAGCTGAAGGGGAATGAGGGAGCTGGGAAGAAAACAGACAAGATGGTTGGCAAGGTGGTGGTATATCTGGGCTTCATTTTATTTTATTTAGAAAACAAAAATTTTTCATTACAGAAAAGCACAAACACATACACAGGAAGAGAGGGTGGCAGAAAGAGCCTCATGTATCTATAGCTCCAACAGTTGTCAATAGACAACCAATCTTATTTTATGATTCCCCACCCGCCCCTTCCCCCAGCACCATTTCCTCATGGATTTCATTGTTGAAAAAAAATGTATTCTCCCTGTGGAACTCTTACAGCTGTGTCCAGGTGGCCTGGCACACAAATTCCCTTTCAAACCCTAAGAGGCCTTGCAATTCTCTGATCTTTGTTATGAGAGACCTCAGGCTACCCCTGCCACAGGAGCTGGAAATTGAATAGTAGATTGTCAGAGCTCAATGCCTGGTCCTCTCACTTGCTAACTGTGGGAGCTTGGACAAGGTTCTTATCTTTTGGTGCCTCAGTTTTCTCACCTGTAGAGTTGGGTGATGAACAATGCCTCTCTCCCACAGTGGTTGTTAGGATGACATTATTTGATAAACGTACAACCCTGCAAACATGGCACATGGAAAGGCCTGGAAGGACAATAACTTTTTATTCATCAGTTTAGGAAGCAGCAGTGAGCCTCCGCTGTTGCTAAGTAGGGCCTGGGCAGAGGGCTGGGTAACTAGGGAGAAAGAAGAAAGGTCCCAGCCTCAGGGAGCTCCTCCTCCAGTGAAGGACACAGACCCATGAAAAGACAGTTCCACTGGGCTGGCTGCTGCGACAGTGGGCTGTGTGCCATGTGGTCCATTTCTCCCAATTCACCAGTCACCAAACTGAGACTCAAGGTCCCCTGAGCTTACAGAGCCACAGCATTTAGCTGCAGGGTTGGGATGGATTCAGTACAGTTTTCCTGGCCCAGTCTCTTCATCAGAGGAGTCTGGTGGCTCTGGCTGGCACCTGTCCCATTCTAGCCAAAGGTGTGCTGCTCTGGGCCACTCTTCCTGCAGCACAGAAGTGAAAAACTGGTCATGGGGCCAGATGTGGGCAGCTGTTCTGGCTACTGGTTAACCAGATAAGGGACTACAATCCACAGTGTGATCAGGGCCCCAGGGCAGGAGAGCTGTTGACATCCCCAGCCCTGCTGACTATGACACACACTGCGGGGAGGGTGGAGAGGGACAGGGAGGCAGATCTGGGAGGAGGGGCAGGGGTGGCTGCCACATGGCCTGGAGAAGGGCTCCAAGCACCCTAGGGACAGAACAGCAGACAGTCTGGGGTCTGAGCAGCCCTTTTGGCTCTGAAAAAGGAAAGCCACTGTATTAGAGCTGTCCAAAAGCAGAGAAGCAGTAGGGAAAAGAAGCCTGGCTCTTCCCACCCAGGACAGGAGTATGGGCGCTTGACTCTTACTGTGTTGACTC